CTCTCTCTCTCTCTCTCTCTCTCTCTCTCTCTCTCTCTCTCTCTCTCTCTCTCTCTCTCTCTCTCTCTCTCTCTCTCTCAATACCTTATTACAGTATATTATGTCCATTTCTAAATTAGTAATGGTAAAGTTTAAAAAAATTGTATCAAATATTATTTTGAAATTAACAAAATATTAGGGATTGCTTGTATACAAATTAATTCACTCACTTTTATTTCAATTCAAAATCTATTTACTCAAATTTAACTCAACCCCACTATCTTTAATATTATTCATATAATTAAATAATACAAACCAATCATTCTTACACATCATATCAACTTTAATTCACTATTCATCCACTCACATAATTTTAACTACCAATTATTTCCAATCATTTATCTCTTACTTTTACATCAAATCAATTTTAATCATTTTATTTTAAATATTATTTTAATATATTCTCAAAATTTCACTCACTAACCATACCACTTTTTTACAAAATTAACTATGGTTAACAAAAGAACTCAATTTGAATCAATTATTTAATAAACAATCAAGCCCTTAATTTTTAATTACGTCAATATTATTTTATTTTTCTTATTACTTATAACAATGTAAATTTTAAATTTTTGTTTCTAGCTTATTAATTTATATGATTTTCAATAATATTGTGGATCACAATATGAATTTAAAAATAAATAATAAGAAAATCAGGTTGTTGCAGTTATTGATAAACTCAAATGATATATTTGAACTCTTTGAATATATAATTTTTGGTATATATGGCTCGTTACCAAATTATCAAAGAGATTTGTTATTGATGTTGATATATCAATTCTTTTTTAGTATTGTGGTAGTTATATCAATAAGATTTTTACAATTAATTTTAAAATTTATTTTGTACTTATATTTTGCAATTCCCACGCATATTTTGGTATACATATGGTTGTATACCCAGCAAAAGCAGTAGAACGCATGATTTGTTATTGAGGATAAAAATTGTTTGGTTTAAAGATAAACAATCAAATTTCTTTTGATATTGTGAAAAACTCCATTTACAACTTTTAAAAATCTAAATCGATTGAGTTATTGATAAATCAAATGATTTCAAAATAATCGTGTTGATTAAATGATTGTTTAAGATGGTATACGGTTGATTGCCAAATGAATAAAAAAATCGTTGTGAATTGTTATTAATGTTGATAAATAAGATTCTATTGAAACATTGTGATAAATATCATAATAAAATTTCAACAACTGATTTTCAGTTTTTATTTTGTAATGATTTTGTAATTTTATAGCAAAACATATTCGACAGATGTTCTTTGAAGACATGTTGTATGGTTGGCTACCAAAAGAATAATAAATTCCAGTGATTCATACTTAATACGAAAAATTGAATTTTTATTGCGACAATTACTACAAAATAGTTTTCCAAATTTATACCACTTTATTTATGTAGAAAGTTGTTCTATTAACATTTCACGATTTAAAACATTGATAGCACTTTATTATATAGAAAGTCGTATACGTTGCAGGTTTAAAAAAAAAAATAACACCGGCATGGAATTGAACAAATTGATAATTTTCGTGGAATGTTGTGATTCTTTTTTAAAAAAAAAATCACATATATATATATATATATATATATATATTTACGTATATGGCGTACAATCTATTTATTATTTTCTTATTAAGTAGATACTCAGAAATGTGCTGCAAATTTTTTATGAGATTTTAAATTTGGAATTTTTATCAATTATTATGAGATTTTGAATTAAGAATCATTTTTATAATTTATTTATCGTATTTTAAAGGAAAAAAAAATAGAATTCCTATATTTAGTGAAACAACAATTTAAGGCTGGATTTTTTTCTCACATATTAAGGTAAATTCTTAGTCCCTTTCTATATTAACATATATAGATAAAAATGCATTCATAGGTGCTTTGATATTGTTTTAACTAGTAATTACCCGTGCGATGCACGGGATGATATATTTCTAAATATTAATTAATAGTAAAATTTAACTTTAATGAACTTGTTATATTTGTAACAAAAGTAGACACGTTAGGCGCAAATTACGAAATTCATAAATTATTGAAAATTTTTTTGTGCACAACGTTTTTTGTTTGATTTGACGGTGAGTCACCATCACCACAAACTAATATTTTCAAATCACTGCGGTTGGTGACACGGGAGACAACAACGTATAACTGTCCATGGCTGAACACAAGTTTCTTAAGAAATAAACCAACGTGTGATAACGATTGTCCCTGACTCTTGTTGGTAGTCATGGCGTACGATACCATAATGGAAAGCTGACGCCTCTGTAACTTAAAAGGAATTTGGACATCGAAATGAGTTATAACCATTCTAGGAATCAACACCTTCTCGTCTGCGTGATACCCAGTTAGTATCTTACACTTGAGAATAGGATTATCCTGAGTTAGATCAATAACAACGCTTGCATTTTCTATAGGACTTGTTGTGTACTGCCTCGACCACCAAAACATGATTGGTGTAGTAAGAGTTGTATTTTCATGTTTACAACATTAGCTTGCACCTCCCATGTCCCCGTACTCTAATAAATAAAAGTTAAAGTAAAATGTTTCAAATTTAATATGTGAATGACTTAAATATATGAACAATATTGATACTTTAAATGGAACAAACCAGATATTCCTGATGTAGACCCACTAATTTTTCTAGGACGACCACGCTTTCTTTTCTGAAAAATGGGTTGAAGAGGATCATCCTGAGTTAGATTGATAACACTTGCACTTTGTGTAGGACATGATGTGTAGGGGTTCGACAACGAAAACTTTTTAGGTGCAGTAAGAGTTCTATTTTCATTTTCGTCGTCACTCAAGATGTCTATCGCGATGCTTTTTGTTCCAAGAACAGTGGAATTTTTCGAGTTTTTCTCAGGGTGTTTACGATGACCTATTAATTTATAATAATACAAATTCAAAAAACATTAAAGTACCCAATAAAATATAAGAAAATTGAAGATGAGATATATATACCAATATATAATTGAAATGCCATTTGTTATATCATTGAAGGGCATATGATTTGAAGCATTAGATGAGCTTCCTGATAATATTGTCATTTGTCTTTGACTAACAGTTGATCCAGTGTGAAAATCGAGAGTCACAATACCTATATATGTAAGGTCCAAACAACAACATTGAGCAAGATTAATTATAATTGATTTAAAAAATAAAGTGCATTTTAATAAATCAATAGAGTAAAATTCTAATTGATATAAAAATCACACATTTTTTACATACTATTACGCATTTTAAATTAATAGAATGATCAAACACATTAATAGAATCGACCACACTTTCTTTCTGAACAATGGGTTGAATGGGATCATCCTGAATTAAATTGATAACAACACTTGCACTTTGTGTAGAACATGATCGAATCTTTTTCTGTTTGATTTAAAAGGCTTTGCTTGCTCTTTCTACTGCCTGTGTTTGTTCGGCCCTCCTTTAGATATTCCCTACACTCTTTGTTCTTTTTTTTTTTCTGCACTCTCCCGTACTATTTTGGGAGTGGAAACAAAATTGATTTTTTGTTCTGTGTGTTGGGGTTTTATTTAGCTCTGCTTTGTTCAATTCCCCCAATTCCCTTACTTTTTATAGTTGCACATGTCTTCTCATTTGCAAACACTTTCTTTTACCCACTTTTTCTTTGCCTCTCATTCTTGTTTTCTTCCCTGCAACTCAAAGTCCAAATCTTTTTTCTTAATTCTGACAATTTTTTTTTTCTAATTTGTGCAGAGGGTGGTACCTCTCAACACATGAATCCTAATCTCAACCTTGAAGCTTGCCTACAACATGCTCCGAAAGCCCGTCGGCTCATTCGACCGCGATTTAAACGAATTCTCGATTGTAAAATACCTGCCAACTCAAACCCTATCGCTGGAGTCTACACATTTGATGTCATCATAAACCGCTCCAGCGGCCTCCTCAATTGGGTCTACTTGCCAGCCCCCGACAATGGGCATGGGCCCATTTACGAATTTTCGAGCCCGATCAACCCCTAAGCTCGACCAGGCCCGTGCCCGTCATTATCTTCTTTCATGTCAGAAGCTTCGTCCACTCCTCAGCCAACAGTGCCATATACAACACGTTCTGCCGCCGCCTCGTTGCCATTTGTCGGGCAGCCGTTGTCTCGGTTAACTACTGCCGCTTGCCGGAGCACCGCTGCCCGGCCGCTTACGAGGACGGTTGGGCAGCCTTGATGTGGTCCCGGTCGAGGCCCTGGCTGACAAGTGGCAGCAAAAGGAGGAACCGAAGAAGGTTCGTGCTTACCTGGTAGCGGTGAATTAACATGACATTATATTCAGAAATTAATTGACTACAATAATCCAAAAGCATGATTTAATTTATTCAATGTATATTTATACTTTAACCATTCAATGTATAATGTATTCAAAACATTACCTGTGAATCTGTTTTCGTAAGTTTGTTGCCTGCATTTTTTTGTTGCAATTGGACATATGAAGTTTAACGTAAGTATAGAAGTTTTATGTGACAATTCACCATATTACCTCTTAGTCATGAAAGACGATCTCCATGAAATTCTTGCACTCCGAATTGCCTCTAAAAATTTTGGACTGCTCTCATTTTCAAATAAGGTTTGTTGTTGTTCTTGAATGTATCCAAACTGGTGCCATTTTTTTTTTCTAAGGAAACATTGTTTTAATAATTAGAAAATTTGTTAGAGATATATCAGTGCAAATCTGTTAGAGATATATCAGTGCAGATTATGAAATGCGTGATTCCTAATTAATCGTACGTATGAACTGATTTTAATTACGATAGTAAATATATCAGTGCAGATTGGGAAAAGCTTGAACACATTTTAACTAAAAACGCGTGAATATTTACTTGTGCGGTCTCAAATTTTACTTAGGAAACATGAGAAAAAAAAAAAAAAAAAAGAAAAAAAGGGATTTCATAATAATTTGAAGCGCGTGAATATCTTTTCATAACAATATTCTGAATGTTTGTATTCAGATTTTTTAAAGCACGTGAATTTTGGATTGCAACCTCATAATCTCACAATCCCATTAATTATGCCATTAATCTCGGCAAGAGGAAAAAAAATTCAAATTTTATTATGAGTTTCCACAATTAGAAAGTCAAAGTTTTGACTCAATTTTTTTTTTTTTCTAAAAGTGAATTTTACATCAACCTTTATATATATGTGTATATATATATATATATTATTTATCAAATCCCATCCAATCCAAAAAATAAGGAATTGATATCAATCAGATAAGCAAGTGAAATAAACGTGGAATAAAAATCGGATTTCAATAAAAAATTATACCAAATCCCATAAATATACCCCATAAAAATGAAGGAAAAGCAGTGAAATAAAACATTAATTTTACAAAAGTGACCAAATATCATCCCATAAATAAGGAGTTAAAATACGCGAACAAAAGGTGGTATAAAATGTGAATTAATTCTGAATTATATTACTTTTAAATTATTGTACTTAAAGGAAAAAAGTGGAAATGTATGGACCATATTATTAAGAATACACATTAAGTGGAATTATTTAAAATTCATTTGATTTTTTATTTTTTTTTAAATCAGAAATAAAAATTGGATTGTTAAGAATCCACATTAAGTGGAGTGGTTTAAAATTAATAATTATATGTTTTCAAATAATTATAATATTTATTTAAGGGGATTATCGACAAAATCTTATATGATAATTTAATGGCAATGACATATTTGTATGAATCTACATTGGTCTAGATATTTTTAGAGTTTGGAAAATAGAATAATACCTGAAGAACAATTAGAATCAAATAAATTCATATATTTGGGTTTAAAATTTAACATAAAACAATCGAAATGGATGTAAAAAAAGCATTTATTAACGACATGGACTGAAACCCAATTTACTATCACATAATTATAAGAAAATTACAATAAAACTTTTTATTATGGATTGAATATTAATAAAATAATACAGGCTCATGGAAAACTTCCATTCCATTTCATCACGCGTGTAATACTCATGAACACAATCTTCCAATTGTGTGGGGTTGCCCTTTGTCGCCGATTATTGGGTTTCAGTCCATAGTTGGCCATACAATACCCGTCACCTTCTTTAAAGACATCTCGGAATAAGCTCAACTGTTTGTAACGTATCAACCCACTTATTTGTGCACCCTACAATATAAATTTGTACAATTAATAAATTAAATTGTTTTGGACGTAATAGTATGATTTAGATTTCAATTGAAAATATTACCTCTTGATCTTCAAAAATGATGGCACAGAAATTCTTTGTCTCCAATTCGTAATGGGTTTCAACAACTAGAGTTGCTCTTAATTTCAAAAAAGGCATGTTCACCCTAGTAACCGCGCGGAGTCTATAAAACACTGGTGCCATTTTTTTTTGTCCTATTTTTAATGACGTGTCTCTGTTTTTGCAGAATGATTTCGGGAGGAAGTGAAGAAGACGTTCTAAAGGAGTGATGGATTTATATAGAATTTTACAAAGTTGTTTGTAATCCCTTTTTTTTTTGTGATTTAGTGTATTATTTTATGTAACCAATCACATCCCATCCAAATATAACGGAAGCCATGTAAATCGATTTTATAAAAAAACACCAAATTCCATCACAAAAAAAGGAAAAAAAAAAAGGGATTTAAGGTATAATACTATCCCATCCTAAATATAAGGATTTAGATGATTACAAAATCTCAATATAGGTGGTACCCTAAAAATACTCGCAACAATTGACTGAAAATGTATCTTAAGCGGGAAATAGTAGCGGGAAAACCGAATTAATTTTTTTGGAGTTTTTTTAAACGTTTTTCAAACATTAAACCTTAGCGTTTTTTTTTTTATAGTAATAGATATTAAAAAAATATCAAAGCATAATAATTTGAATATGGTATATAAATCTTGCAATTCAATGAAATACATTAATTTATTAGGAAATGTTCCATCCATTTTTTAGCTATAAAAGTTTTGCTAAATTTGTTCAAACACTGTTTATTATAAATTTTAATGGTTCAAGCTTTAGATTTTTTAAGAAATAAATAAATTAATAATTTTATTAATTGATGAATGTAATTATATAGTTTAAATGATCAAGTTCCACTCGAACTTCACAGACTTCCTCGTCAGCTGGGATAGGGGGAGGGCAATCTTGGAAAAGCCCTCGATGAACCTGCGATAGTATCCAGCTAGACCGAGAAAACTGCGA